TATTTCAACTTGTAACGCACATGGTAATTGCTCACTCGAGAGCGAGAGAAAAGTTCAGGAGTACGAGGAATCACAGACAATCGAGAAGGGAGTCAGGCGTTCAACCGACGCCAACACTAGCTCAAGCTCTGCAGTCCTCTAAATATTAAGATGTTTTCAGCCCATTTCATGAGTGTTCATGCATGTAGGAGGAAATCGAAGCACCCGGACAAAACCTATGCGTGCGAGGGAACAACACTGTCTCTCATGCAGATGAAACAAATGGAGATTTTTTTTTTTACTGGACTGCGTTCTCCTGGCAAGCCAGGGTTATGGCACCTCGACGCCCATGGGAAATCGAGTTGCACAACATTTTGTGATCCACCAACCCTTGTCTCCACAGTGCTGGATTACCACTGCTGACAAAACCGTATAGGTTTAAAAATAAACATTTACAAGTTGGCTAAACAATGTAGATTTAAAGCTTTCGTCACTGCAGGGATTCATATTCTTGGTTCTTTCGGTAAAGTCACATAGAAGGGAAACAATAAAATAATAAAAAAATATATATAAAACAACTAAATTCTCACGACGTTTCGACTGCAATACAAGCAATCATCATCAGGTGTGAAAACCACAGCAAGAAAATTTGAAAAAAGTGGCGTTTTTTTAACGTTAGCACCACGGAGAGCGATTTGGCAGTTATTCAGATGGACGAGTCCATCTACGTTCAGAAAAAAGGAGGGGGGAGACAAAAATAATGGATGTGGTCTGAAAGCCACCGCAAGCGTGAACAATCAATTAAGACCCAAAATGGTTTATCAAATCCTTCCAACGATTGCTAAGCCAGAATCCATCTTCTCGGTTGAAATTGTCTCTGTGTTTGTATATGTGGATAGCCTCATGAACGAATCTCTCATGGTAGCCAGATGGCTTGCAGAGAACCTCTGTTTTGGAGAAGTCAATGTTATGTGAGCCTACTGAATTATAACAGTGATCTGCCACGGCCGAGGTGTTGGTCCTACCGTGTTTAAGGTCTGCTTTGTGTTCCCGGATGTGGTCTGAGACATGTCGTTTGGTTTCTCCAATGTAACTACTACCACAGAGGCAACTTAGTTTGTAGACGCCAAGGTATTGTATGTCCGGCATCACATCTTATACAGACGAAACGAGATCACGGATTTTATGTAATGTGTTGAATCGGACCTGGATCTTGTGTTTATTCAAGATTTTGGAGATCTTTTTTGTGATCCCCGCAATGTAGGGTAAAGTGATAGTTTTGAATGGCTCCTCAAGAGGGTCCTTCTTCATGGTTGGAGTGATAGATTTGCGGATTGTGTAGTCGGAGTAACCATTACCCTTAAGAGCTTGGTGTACGTGCTCGAGTTCACTGGCTATGTGTTCCTGGTCGGATATGCATTGGGCTTTATGGTGCAGAGTCTTTATGAGGGAATTCTTCTGGAATGGATGGTGGTGGGAATCCGGTTTCAGGCAAGCATCCGTATGGGTAGCTTTCCTGTAGACAGAGTGGCGCATTGAACCATCAGGTCTCTTTTTTATTAGGACATCCAAAAAAGGTAGCTTGCCATATTTTTCGACTTCCATGGTAATTCTGAAGGCTAATGGTTACTCCGACTACACAATCCGCAAAGCTGCCACTCCAACCATGAAGAAGGAGCCTCTTGAGGAGCCTTTCAAAACCATCACTTTACCCTACATTGCGGGGATCACAAAAAAGATCTCCAATATATTGAATAAGCACAAGATCCAGGTCCGATTCAACACATTACATAAAATCCGTGATCTCGTTACGCCTGTAAAAGATGTGATTCCGGACATACAGTACCTTGGCGTCTACAAACTAAGTTGCCTCTGTGGTAGTAGTTACATTGTTGAAACCAAACGACATGTCTCGGACCGCATCCGTGAACACAAATCAGACCTAAAACACGGTAGGACCAACACCTCGGCCGTGGCAGATCACTGTAATAATTCAGTAGGCTCACATGACATTGACTTCTCCAAGACAGAGGTTCTCTGGAAGCCATCTGGCTACCATGAGAGATTCGTTCATGAAGCTATCCACATATACAAACACAGAGACAATTTCAACAGAGAAGATGGATTCTGGCTTAGCAATCATTGGAAGGATTTGATAAACTATTTCGGGTCTTAATTGATTGTTCACGCTTACGATGGCTTTCAGACCGCATCCATTATTTTCGTCTTCCCCCTCCTCTTTTCCGAACATAGATGGACTCGTCCATCTGAACAAACTGCCAAATCGCTCTCCGTGGTGCTAACGTTAAAAATAACCGCCACTTTTTTCAAATTTTCTTGCTGTGGTTTTTACACCTGATGATGATTGCTTGTGTTGCAGTCGAAACGTAGTGAGAATTTTATTGTTTTATATATATATTATTTTATTGTTTCCCTTCTATGTGACTTTACCTGAAAGAACCAAGAATTTGGCTAAACAAATGAAGCAATCCATTCGAGGGATACAACTGAGAACTGAAACAGAGTGTGCATTAGTCGGGTGGTTATTAAAGGCAGACTGGCAGACATCTCCATATATATACATGAAAGGCAAAGTTGTGATTGTGTGTGTCTGTTCAAAATGTTTAGCGTGCTTCCCGACATGCAACAAACTTTAAATTTACCATGTGGGTACTTTCCAGACTGTACAACATGCAAAAATTATTCAAACACACTTTTGTGGGGTTTTTTTTGGGGGGGGGGGGACTCAACAATGCATTTAATTTTTGCACGGCAAGTGAGCTGTGACGTCAAATCTGTCACGTGACCAACGCATGTGGAAGCGTAACGCATTGCAGTGTAGTGGTTAGCGCGCTGTGTATGTGTGTGTAATCTGTGTGTGTGTGGAAGCGTAACGCATTGTAGTGTAGTGGTTAGCGCGCTGTGTGTGTGTCTGTGTGGAAGCGTAACGCATTGTAGTGTAGTGGTTAGCGTTCTGTGTGTGTGTCTGTGTGTGTGTCTGTGTGGAAGCGTAACGCATTGTAGTGTAGCGGTTAGCGCGCTGCGCTATGAACCTGGCGACCCGGGTTCGATTCCCTGCTCACGGCCAACACCAGTGACAATTATCTGAACCGGTCCCGGGCCTCCCCTAGGTCAACTCAGCCTCATAATGAGTACCTGGTGCGGTGGATAAAAACATTGCCACTAGGGAGACAAAGGCGGTCGGGCGTGGTGCTGGCCACCCACCCCCTCGCGTACCGTTCCGGCCTTCATGAGGTGCTCGCTAACAGCACTTGCCCCTACAGTCTGTTAAGGCTATACGGGGGATCTTTATCTTTATCTTTGTCTGTCTTTGTGTGTCTATGTGTGTGTAATCTGTGTGTGTGTGTGGAAGCGTAACGCGTTGTAGTGTAGTAGTTAGCGCGTTGTGTATGTATGTGTGTGTCTATGTGTGTGTGTCTATGTGTGTGTGTCTGTGTGTGTGGAAGCGTAACGCATTGTAGTGTAGTAGTTAGCGCGTTGTGTATGTGTGTGTCTGTGTATGTGGAAGCGTAACGCATTGTAGTGTAGTGGTTAGTGCGCTGTGTGTGTGTCTGTCTTTGTTTGTCTATATGTGTGTGTCTGTGTGTGTGGAAGCGTAACGCATTGTAGTGTAGTGGTTAGCACGCTGTGTGTGTCTGTGTGTGTGTCTGTCTGTGTCTGTGTGTGTGGAAGCGTAACGCATTGTAGTGTAGTGGTTAGCGCGCTGTGTATGTGTCTGTATGTGTGTCTGTGTGTGTGTCTGTATGTGTGTCTGTGTGTGTGTATGTGTCTGTGTGTGGGAGCGTAACTCATTGTGGTGTAGTGGTTAGCGCACTGCGCTACGAACCCGGCGACCCGAGTTCGATTCCCGCTCACGACCAACACCGGTGACGATTATTTGAACCGCTCCTGGGCCTCCCCTAGGTCGACTCAACCTCAAACGAGTAACTGCTGACAAAGGCGGCCGGGCGTGGTGAATCCAAGTCCCGGGCGAAGCCGGGTAGTCAAGCTAGTTATGGAATAAAGTGGTTTGTTTGGAGTACAACAGGAGAATGTAGCCAGGCGCTAGGTGGAATTGTTGCATCGTTAGAGCGTCAGAGACGACAAATGATTGTTGGGAGGTGTTCATCCACACGTGGATTGTACGTATTGTATGTTGAACTTCTTTCCCACAGTACGTAGCCAACCGTACTAATCGGAGGTGCGGCAGATGATGATGGGTATTCTTACAGCACTACTACTAAGTGCCATAAGGGGCCGTCCATAAATGACGTCACGCGATTTTGGACGATGTTTTACCCCCCCCCCCTAGTCACACGGCGTCACAAAAAGTCAGACCCAAGCCTCAAATATGACGTCACAAAGCTCTGCCCCCCCCAAAAAAAATGCTTCAAATCGCTTTAAACTATTGTCATTGTAGTGCGTATTTAATGTGGCGCTGCACTCTGATGTAGGAGAAAACATTAAAAAGTCTATTTAAGGGGAACGTGTTGTCTATATTTATTTAAAGTTGCGTAAATTGATGTGACGTCACATTTCTCAAACCCCCGCTCCCGTCACAAATGTCTGACCACGCCCCCCCCACCTCCCCCTAGGTGTGTGACGTCATTTATGGCCGGCCCCTAAGTGCCATAATGTCTAACTAATACTCTACGTCTCTGGTCTCTCGAGTACTGTATGTACGTGCTGTAAAGGGTTATTGATTCACGTGTTGAGTGTTTTTGCTGCTATTGTTGTGACATTCAATCGAAGGCGATGGTTGTGGATACCACCATATTCTGTGTCACAACTTCTGTAGTTTTGCAACAACGACGACGACGATGACGAAGCTCGAGCGACGATCCGAGCGGCGACAGCGGCGCGCGCGCGCAGTCGCCGCTGCGTTGCCGTGGCGACCGGCGCTCGCCGTTCGTATTGAAACCTAAGGAGCCCTCCCCTCCCCTCCCTCACACGGTGGGGGCGGGGTGGAGGAGTGGGGGGGGGGATTGTGGGGGGAGGATTGCGGGGTGAGTGGGCGGGGTGAGGAGTGGGAGGTGAGTGGGAGGGGGAGTAGGGGGGGTCAAAGGTCGCCGCCGGGCGCGCCATGGCCGCCGCGCACATGGAGCTGCTGTGCTGGCGGGGAGACTGGGGTCTTCCCTCGGTTGATTCGGGCTGCCTCATCGTCATGGTAGTGGCGTCTTTTTACACACCCAGCGCGCCTGCCTCCATCGCACGTCCACTTTATGTTGCGGCGGCGGCTGCTGCTGCTGTCGCTGTTAAGGGCCGCTTGGAGCGAGACGGGTGTTGTAGGTGGGCCTGCGTTGTGGGTCGCGTTCAACTGCAGCGGTAGTCGCCACTGAGAGGTGTGGTGCGGGGATTGTATGTACAGTTATGTTCATTAATGAGAGCTAGCCTCCTGATAAAAAAAAAAACAATTTTGCGGCGTATTTGGCCGCTGCTAGTCGCGCATTCGCGCAGCTGCTGGCAGTTTTGCACGCACCGTGTTTGTATAGAAGTGCGCAGTTCGTGCGCCACCCGTTCTCAAGGTTGCGTCTTCAACCCGGGAGGGTTTAACCGCGTCAGATTAGTCATTTAGCAGTGGCCTGTCTAGTTGATACAGTCACGCCGTATTGGTCTAAGTCTGCAGTGCTTACGATAGATATACTGCAGTGCGAACAAGGCACCAGGGGGTGCATTTAATTTCAACGCGACAACGCTGGATGGCTTCGGTTTCAAGGTTGCGCCGTCAAGAGTATTGTACAGTACTCCATAGGCGGACGGGACTGCATATGGTAGCAATATGTTCAGAAGCTAAATGCCAATGTCGAGGTCTGGTAACTACGACAGGAGGGTATCAGGAGTTATGGAGTTGGTGTAGTTCTGTTATTCCTCCCTTGAAGGAGCGCACACTACGGTAGTGTTATACTGTATGGTCCATAGGGGGCCCTGTTACAGACTACTTTTGCTTACCGTACTATGGTCCAACGCTAACGCTCCCCGCTTTCAACCCGCATCTATTTTAATAATTATTTCTATGAATCTCTGTTAATCGTTTGCATATATCCTTCCCCGCACCTCCGATTAGCACGGTTGGCTACGTACGTAAATACAGACCGACGTGGTGAAATGTGGTCAAATAATCTCCGCGACCAGTGTAGTGAGGTCCTCAACCAGCGGTGGATTGACAAAGGACTGTTCGTGTATTTTGTTCTCTCATTGCACTGTTGGGTTGGAAAAAAAAGCTGATCCTGTAAATCTCTAAAATCCAGACTAAAACAAATCAACCCCCTTTCAATCACACATTCTAAATTACAGCTTTTGAAGCAAAACTTCGTCGTGTCAACAATTACGTATAAGGTCTTGAACACCATTTTTTACCCGGGCAGTTTGAAGAACTTGGAAAGAAAATATCATGAAACTCAACCAATTCTAGATTTGAAGCTTTCGTGACTGCAATGATCCATACTCTTTGGTTCTATTCGGTAAAGTCACGTAGGTAAAAATAAAAGAACAAAAATCACGACGTTTCGGCCACAACACAAGTGGCCTTCATCAGGTGAAGGGACCGGATTGTCCAGAGGACAGCGTTGGAGTGAAGACAGCCAAGCCCAGGTCGCGTCCTTTAAGCTTTGTGGGAGGAAACAAAAAACGCCTTGACAAAGGATTTAGCATAAAATGATGTACTGGACCGGCACGGTGGGGGTGGGGGGGAGTTGACATAATGTTGGTGTGAAGGGAAATAAGCTGCTGTGAAAGTTTGGGATACGACTACTTGAAAAAATATACTGTACCATTGAAAATTAGTTTAATGTTTGGTTTGATTTAGAACATCTTTCCAATAATTGCTTAATTTGAAACCATCCTTTCGGTTGAAATTGTGTCTGTGTTTGTAAATCTGAATTGCCTCGTGGACAAATCTCTGATAAAAACCCGTGGGTTTGCAGAGAACCTTGGTATCGGAGAAAACTATATCGTGATCACCCACAGCGTTGTAACAGTGATCAGCTACGGCAGAAGAATTCGTTCTGCCGTGTTTCAAATCTGATTTGTGCTCGCGAATTCGGTCAGAGACATGTCGTTTCGTCTCCCCGATAATGCAGTCACCACAGGTGCAGCTCAATTTGTAAACCCCGGGGTACTGTAAGTCAGGAACGACATCCTTCACGGATGGGATCAGGTCACGGATTTTGTGTACTGTATTTTTTACCTACGTGACTTTACCGAATAGAACCATAGAGTATCAACCAATTAATTGCATTTCGGCCTGGAGTAGCAAGTTAATCTAGCACATTTTAAACAAATAATATAAAGCCATTTGGAATATTCAGCTACGTACTTATGGCAGTAAATTATCTTTGCTGCAATAAAAACCCAGAACAAATACTGTACTATATTTTAATAATTGCATTACAGTTCCCTCGTTATTCAAGAGGGATATGTTCCGGAGATGCTCGCGAATAGTACATTTTGTGAACAATTATATTGGCCTACGAAAACCTATAATTTGAATGAATTACCTTGAATAAATATGTAAATAACCTCTGAAATACATGACAATTATAAGACAATTTCAAATTGTTCTAATAAAACATAAATTATGATGCTGCCCATCATCACTTTATCTCATCACTTTCATCACATTTTTTCTCTCCCTCGATGCAGTCGTGTAGAGTTCCAGATGCGAATCGCGGATAGCAAGGTCGTGAATAACGAGAGAATACCGTACTGTATAGTGTAATGACATTGATTTTCCTTTTGCAGGCGTATGCCCATTTTTCCAATGCACCAGTAAAACTGAAGAAAACTGGGAATCCAAGGGAATCTTTGACAGGTCAGTGACACCATGGTCAGGTCTTCTTCTATCTTTGTAAAAAATCCTTTTTTAACATTAACATGCACTGAATGTATTACGTGTTCCATATGTTGTGTTCACAGGGTGTTTGCCTATCCTTAAATCTGGAGAGAAAACTATTTCCAAACCACTAAATATTCTCAACTGCTTTCGCAAAGAGGTGAGAAATAGAGCTACTGACAGTGGTTGAGTAATGGTACATTGGCGTTGCTGTCAGAAGATTTGCTTCGGTCATATAAGGGTAATTATTACATATTAGCAGCTCTTAAAAAGTGGCTAAGTTTAACAAAGAAGTGGTTATTCTGTACCCTGAAGATATGGCAAGGATTCGAAGAAGGCAGTGAATTTAACGAGTCTGTGCCTGACTGAGCAAGTGAATATTATCAGCCATCACCCCTGAATATTTATTAATTTATTGCCCTTGTTTTAAAATACTCGGCACAGTAGGACACTGTTGTGCGTGCTGTAAATGTTTTGGATATTTTAAGCACACTTAATAGTTATCTTTAGCTGTTTTAATGTGTACATTTTCAACGGTCTTTCACACGAAAATGTAAAATAGATTTTGTAATTTCAAATAAGGCAACATTTTTATGATGTGAAAACCACAATTTTGCGTAATGTGCGGGTAAAATATGGCTAATATGACTGTCGTGTGTTGTGAACTGTTTATTTAACATCAATATAAAGTATATAATGTAAAAGAGCATTTGCAGGCATTACTACAGGAAATGTTTTTTACTTTTCAGCAATACAATGCAGACTATGACCTTTCTCCTAAGCAAGGGGCCGACACCATGGCGTTTGTAGCTTTGATCGAAGAGAAGCTTTTACCAGCTCTTGTGAGTATATTTGTGGCAAACATCAATATCAGCCGTGCAGTGTTTCCCTCGCAGATGTATATTTTTAATCTACCAAACATGAGACGATAATGCTTACTGACTTGCATAACCAAAACTTGTTCATTACCAGCTTCACACATTTTGGGTGGACGATCAGAACTACACGGGGGTCACGAGGCCGTGGTATGCGTCGACAATGCCGTTCCCATTCAACATGTTGGTGCCATACCGATCCAGCCGGCAGGCGCTAACACGCCTCAAGCTCAGCGTGGGCCGCCCGCCGTATATGAGCCTCGCCGAGATGGAGGCTCAGGTTTGTGAGCCAGCTGCTGGACGTTAGCATTTTCCACACATACATTGGCAGCCACCATGTTATTCTTCGTGTGGTTCAAATCACCTTTTTCATTCTACTAGGAAGTGTTAAATGAGATAAATCTAGTAGTCATTTCCATCAGCTTAACCATATGAGAGCTCGTGATGTGTTTACATGGCTTAATTAAATACTTTCTTTAATTTATTGCCCATCCAGATATATTGGGATGCCAAGGAGTGTTTGAATCTATTGTCCTTCCAACTGGGTGAAAAAGCATTCTTCTTCGGAGAAATGTGAGTTCATAACGTTTCTAGTTTCTGTACACAAGTAACATTGGCAGGGAAATTATCTACACAACGATGGATTAAACATTTAGTGAATGATGGTTTAACATAAGTTCTGTCGATGAAAACTGTCATCAATTCTCACCATGTTTGCTACCCTTTGTTTTTTTCAGGCCCTCGAGCTTGGATGCCGTCGTATTTGGTCACCTTGCCCCACTCCTGAAAGCCCCGCTTCTCACCAAGAAACTTCAACTGCATCTCAAGGCCATTGAAAATCTCTGTGCATTTTGTGAGAGAGTGCTAATGAGGTGTTTTCCTGGACAGGCCCCAGGTACTGTATTCTTGGATGATGCCACGCACAGCAGTGCACGACATGCACCTGAAATGTACCGGCAGACTTTGTGGTAAGACAGGTTAGAAGTTGATTACGAATATAAATAAAATAATTTTTCTACAAGACATGCTTAAGTATGCTGTCTCCTGTGCTCGCTATTTAGAGACATAACTGAAGAAACTATAGTTGTTTGCATTACAGTGCCCGACATGAGCTTGAAGCTTCGATGATGAGATTGTAATTAATTTGCGAATGCAGCTGCTGAGGTGGCACTTTGAAATGAGTTAGTTACTCAGGCAACTTTATTCCTAAAAAAAACGTCTATTCTCATTCACACAATTTCAAACTCTTGTCAGACTTGGACACCTCCAAGATATGGATCTACAATAACTGTTTTGGGGGGTTTGTGTCTTCCTTTAATTAACCACAAAGCCTACCATTTTAAAACCAAACTTCACCCAAAAAAGTACACTCTCCTTTTCTCCCTGCACTTTTGTGACTTTTTGAAAGTAAACTTTCCCCTATCAGGGTCCCCAGCAGGGCCCAATCAGCAGGATGCCAAACTGCGCAAACTGACGCAGCTGGTAAACATGGAGTCCAACCTCATCGAAAAGGTGGCGTTGCTTAAGCTAGCAGTGCTGTGTAGTGTGGTCCATTTATAATTTAAAAAATCACGACCCTCATCCTATAGCTGCATGTGTATTTTTTTCCTGATTGCATGATTATTTTCCCCACTCCATATGCTTGCCACCTTTCTCATCAGTTCCCTATATCTTTACCTTGCTCATATACATTTCCTCACCTTGGTTTCCTCATTTCCTTGCCTTAGGAGTAACCTTACAAATGTGTGATTGCCTTCAATATTCACCGTAGAGAAATGCATCTAATGTGTACAGTGTTGGCCATATGTTTGTTTCAGCAAAGGTTAAATATATCCAATGATATCTTCACCACTATAATGAGTGAACTCTTTTGAAGCAAACATTTAAAGTCCAGACTGAACTTTTTTTGATGCAAAGTAATTGTGGTATTATACCTAATTTTCTAAGAAACATTTTTGCAATTGCTAAATTTCATTTGTTTGGTTTAACTTGTGACGTGACATTCGGCAGTCAAGTACATCTGTTTTTTTTTTTCAAAATACATCGAGTCTCGTTGATTTTTCAGATGGACGGAAACCTGCGGGCGAGCCCCAAAGTGGCGCGGCGGGAGATGTCAAACCCGAGCATGACAGCCTCCACGCCGACGGAGAACGGAGCACCCTCTCCTTTTCTGCTTCCGTCAGCTTAGCGGCCCTCAGTTGCCTCGTCGTTCTCTCAGGCCTGCTGTCCAAGGCCCAGCAGAGGAGCCAGTGTGCATTGCACACGGCGGAGGAGAGGCGATGAAAGAAATGTGTCCGCTGCTGGTAAATGTGATCAGGGAGTGTCGATGGTCGTGCAATCAAAAGGTTTGTGTTCTACGTCTCAGTTAATGGCCTACACAGGGACAACGTACATGTGGTTCACCGTCCAAATAAAAAATATAAATGCGGAGTTTTAAAAATTTCAGTGGTTTATAAGTGAAGCGTTGGCGATCCAGATCATTGTCTGATAATGGAATGTTTTAACTGGAGACCAACTTTATTAAGGTGAAGACATGCATTGCTAGTATGTGAAATCTGTTGCACTGGATAGAAATGCACTTTCTCCAATTGAAGTATGCCGAGTGTTTGATCATTGTGCTTTACACTTGTACAGCTTTCACTTAAATACATCGTTACCTTTGTTTAAATTATTTAGATTTATTGGAAATTGCAATTGGTTCTTTATTTGCAATAGCTGGTTAAGATTTTTTAATTAAACATTTGTGGTTTTGTCAACCGTTAAACACCTTTGAACGGATGTTTAAATTTTTTTTGCTACATAGCATAACTCAGCTTAAAAAATAAATCAATATGTTGGTTGGCTCTTCAGGGTTCAATAATGTATTATAGGAGACTCATAACTTGTATTTTGTTTCTGTATATAACTATGTATAAACGTACGTGCTTATTCTGCAAGTGTTATTAAACACAATTCGCATTGAAATGTTGACAAACTGTCCTTGGTTTTTAGAAGTGTAACTTTGATATAATGACCTGCGTTTTGTAAACTCATTGCCCGGTGGCAGTTTTTTTTTTACTCTTAAGTGTTTTCTCAGAAAAAAACTACTTGGAACACGCATACATTATTGTTGTATAGCCTCCAAATATGTTTTTAAATATTGTTTGCAATTGCAGTAAAATAATTCACGTTTTCATCTGGGTTGAGAAAAAAATTTCATTTATTGTTTTGACAATTATAAGGTGGCAACAAACCCAAGTTTTCCACATCCACTGTGCAAGTCACGTGACTTTACCGTAAGAACCAAAGAGTGGATTCCTGCAGTCACGAAAGCTTCAAATCAAGTAGAACTTTGTTAAAAAAAATCAACGTGAACATGATCATAACACAAGTTGGGCATTTTGTACCAAAAAATAGTGAAATCAGTCAGGCACTCGTAACAATTATACATAGTTTACGACAGGTGATGAGGTTTTCTGAACCAAGGAGATCACATGATGATGCAACTCGTGATGTTCAACACCATCCTCTCATCGGCCCCAGATGTAGGTCTGAATTGAGTGTTCGGGACTCGTGCAAAGTACAAATCCAATGTCTGGATCTGACAAGGTAAAGGTGACAGCTTCAGGTGTCCTACAGGGACAACGAGAACAATAAATTAATACTTTGATAATACAAGTTAATAAACCATAAATCATTTTATCTGGATTTGCCACCAAGGATTTACGCCTCAAGATGACCAATGAACTCAAATGTAAAATACCAACGATAACATTGACTTGTTTTTGCATAATGATGGGGTGTTCTCCGAATTAACAAAAAACTGCTATACAGGTGTACCCCGATATACATTAATTCGATTTACGATCTGTTATGTTCGTCATGACTTTCGGTTTACATCTCTGTTATTATATTTGATGCCCCCACGGGGAGGCAGACGCTCCCTGCCCTCCTCCCACCCTCCCAATAATCCAACCCCCTCATCACAGCATCATCACACGATGTGCACCAGTTTCTGGTTATTAAGTTATTGTACAGTATTTGCTTTTAATTACCTATCTATATTTATGCATTAAATTATATTGTGTTGAAAAGTTATTTTAGTCGAATTTGGGTCTGAAATTAATTTCTAGGGAACGCATCCGAGGCAAAATAATAGGACCTTATGGGAAAATACGTTTCTATATACGATTTTTCACTTTACGTTATGGTTTTTCAAGAACGCAATCCAAACATAAATTGAGGTGTGGCCATCTTGCACTGGAAACTATTCCATGTCTTTGAAATAAAGTGTGAAGTGCGTCCCCTCCCTCTAGCCTATATTTTGCCTGGTGTCACTCAGGTTTACTTGTACAGTAATTCCTCACCTGTTTAGTACGACCATTACCCCCAAGCCGTCTGGTCGAATAAACGCAACCATTTCCAGCTTTGTGCTGCCACTAGTTTCCAGAGCAATTCTCTGAGAGCCCTCCGGTATGAACTTGCTGTGAATTGGAAAATAGTAAAACAAAATTAATGCCATCACTGCACCACGATGCAAATTTAAGCTAAAACTGCCAAACATTCACAGTTTTGGCGTAAGGGGATAGCAATCAGAGTACTTGCCCAGGGTGCAAAGCTGTAAGAGCAATCGAAAAAGTATAAATACATAATATTTTATAGTTGTAGCCAATTTAACGTTACATTATAAAGCGGGCGTATAATGGGTCATGCACACGTCAAATAATAGGAAACAAAAGAAAACATGTCATGGCTATTACCAGAGGTTTACTTTCAAGGGGCATTAAATTCTTTGTTCGCCCAGAATAACACATTAGGGATGGGCCTGTTCTACGGTATTTCAAGTTTATCGACGAACGCCTAGCACAGTAAGGATTAATGTTGCCTGTAATTGTTTTGCAAACCTGAAATGGGCCATGTGGTAGAATAGGGGCTGCTTGTAGAAGACACCCTTGCTTCTGTCCACTATGATGGGACTGTCCACAAAGTTCTGCACCCAGTTAGGACCTCCTTGGAGGTCTAGTGCTAGGTTCCAGTCTGTCCATCCCACCACCCAGTGGTTTAGATCCTGCAAAACAAGAAAGCAATTATCATGGCTATTTTTATAATCAATACACATTTCTAAACTGCAGCATGGTTTCATATAAACGTACATTTGAATTTTTTTCGTAAAAATGGTTCGCACCTGTATGATGTCGTGACTGTATTCATCGCCTCTCTCCCAGCTGCCAAGTAGTACTGCCTTCTCCCAGGGGTTGGAGCCAGCGCATGCCTCAGTTGCGAAGAGAAAGTGCTCCGGGAATAGGTTGTGCGTCCGGCTGAGAGTGGGTTCGGCTGGTATGATGAGGTCAAGGTACCAATGCACTGCAATGCCACTCACGTACTTTGCAGCCTTTGGATCTCCCAGCACCTGAAGTAATTTGATTATGATTAATATAGCCATTAAAATAAAACGTATCAGAAAACGTAGTGGTACAATCCAAATATTTCCATTTTTCGAAGTTAACACAAAGAGATTATCGTATATGGCCATATATCACACAAACGCCTTTGATATTTTCTGCACAAAACCTTGCAGATTGTAAAGGATAGTTAAGTTTGTAGAGCAATTCTGTGGTTTTGTTTTACCAATTTTCCCAAATGCAAAAAGTTAAATGGTAGCGGTTATGCATTTCTCAAACCCTACATTTTTTGTATTTAAAAAATATTTTTCCAATTATATTCCAATGGTGCTATCAGGATCATATAATTCCTGATAACCAATAGCCCAAGTGCACCACTGCATCGTTATATAACGGCTGTAAGGGTGATTATGTTATCCGCACTTGTTTGTGCAGCTCAATACCCTATTGTTGCAAGGCAAACCATCAATGTCCTCAGAGCTGGAACTGCACATTTTGGTAAAAATCAGGTTATTTTGGTTGCCCTCGCTGAGATCATCAACTGATGACACTTGAGAAACAGGTTTAACCACAGGCCATTGCCCTGATTCGAATCCAGAATCTCAGCAATGCCAACTTAGTGTTTTGTTAGTGTCAGCTATCTGATCCACCCAGCTAACTTGCTAAAATCTTACAATTTTTCAACATTTTGCATCAGAAATAGAATCAACAAAACTGGACTCACCACTCGTGCCCAAAGCGGAAGCTGTATGCGTTCATCGTCCAGAATCATGAGCTGTACGCTGTGGTGGCGACTCCCGTGCAGTGCAGGCCCCAGATCCATGGCGATAAAGTCCCGTTGTTGTTCGGGCGTGAAGCCGAGGCACTGGAAGGTGAAATTGGTGAATTCGCCGTCGGTGGGCTCATTCTGTGCCGTCAATGCCCAAAACGTCAAGTTGTGCTTGGCATACTCATCCAGGAACCTTCAAGTACGGACACACATGCTTAGTGTCATTGTTGCAGAAGTATTTTTTTATCACGTGCAAACCGTTCAATGACACTGTATTATGTTGAACTTCTTTCGCACCGTACATAGCCAACAGTGCTAATCGGAGGTGCGGGGATAGGACAAACTAAACACAAAACGCAGTTCTAAAGAAATTAGATTTAAATCTAGATTTAAAGGCGCATAGCTCCAGTGGCTCCCTAATATCGGAAGAGCATTCCAGACGGCTGCAGAAGTGCATCTGAAAGCACGTAATGCAGAGACCATCTCTGTTCAATGGTGAGCCAGAATCCACGGTGAGGATGACTAAAGTTTGCGTGATGGTTTATGCCCCTTAACGACTGCCAGTGGTAAAGCAACATACCATGTGAACAACTTTCTGGAGGGTGTGTATACTTTGAAAATATAAGGTTTTCTCACTTCACAAAGTAGTTGGCCCATGCCTTGTAGTAAACACCTCCAGGCTGTCCCTTGATGGTTCCTTTGCCTGTAAGGGCACCGTTGGTTTTCATCCAAGCAGGCGATGTCCAGGGACTGGCAAACAGTGACACTGGGCGCTGAGACATACTAAGTGCCTGCTTCAGCAGTGGGATCTGCAAATTAAGCAAGGCAAAAGGAAGAAAAGCTGGAAAATGCTCATTGGTGGGAAACATTGAAAATGTAATAAAATTTATAAAAATAACTTTCCCCAACCTTGTACTTAATGTCCTCTTTGGCGAGGCTGAATTTCTTGAGGTCAAAATCATCGGGAGTGTCGGCATAAGTGTAGGGCCGAGTGGAGAAGTCGCATCCTGCCATCGGCAGTCGAACGATGTTGTATTCGGCTCCTGGAAAACAAGCAGGGGCGTTACACATGCTGTCATCACAAGAGAAGAAACACATTTAGGGTCAAATGAATGCTGCTCACCGTCTTCAGTAAAGTAGGCACGCAGAAGCATCTCTTGAGCAGGCGGTGGAAGACTCAAGATGTTGATGGCTGCTGCATCAGTCAGCGCACCTCCAAAACCTTTCACCTTTTGGTGCTTTCTGGTAGGGTCTAATTTCACTGTCAGGTCTGTGGTTGACAAAAAAATGTGCAATCAGCAATTGTAATGTGCCTACGCATGGCACTGCTAATTATTAGCCATTCACTTGCGTCAGTGTACTTGCACCATTTTACACACTCGTAAATGTACTTGTAATAACAACAGTCATGCTCTGACTTTGTATTTGTTTGACTTTGAACTGGCTCTATGAACCAACATTTATCCTCAACCAGCAATCGTGTTGGTTTTGATCGTGACAATGTTCATGGCGATTATGATGACTGGTATCGACCCCCCCATATTAGCTGCCGCCGATTGCTATTGCGATGCACGTCACTGCATATCAGCACTGACCAGGTTGCGTCTGCTGAGCTTGGAAGACCAAGTTGCTTCGCACGAGCCGCTTTCCGTTGCGGTCAGTCTGGTACAGAGCCACCTGTGCACGTCCCAGCGGCCCCAGTGGCTCGGGCGAGTCGCAGCTTCTCGAGTCGCAGCGGCAAACCACCGAGCTCTGGCCAAAGCTCTGTGCGGTGCATGGTTGTGCCACAGTGCCCCCTGCGGTTGACGACACGACACATTCAGGGCACGAGGTGGTGAGGACTTTACAACAGCATTTCAATAAAAACGTAGTTATATACTGTATTACAACACTGTCAAGGGGATCCTGCAATGAGATATTTGCCCACTTTTTCAACGGTTTTACTTAACTTGATTCCTCTGTTTGTCGTGGTCAAATCTTGTAATAAAAATTTCGTCCACTTCCCGTTGTCCAATCAGTTCCACATTTTGCACAAGTACTCAGATCCGGTGACAATGCATGCCTGCATCAATGAATCAATTCGCTACTTTAAAGCAATTTACATTTTGTATGGACGCCTTATTATTTACTAGGACCCAGGGAACCCCCGGACCCGACTTCCTTCTAAGGGCCGGGACCGAGTGGGCCAGTGCCCGGGACCCGAGGGCCTTGGATGGGTCGGGTCAGCTCGCCTCCCCTAGGTCCTCCTAGCCGGAGGGCTAATATCGAGGAAGTAATCCAAGTGCTTAGGACACGCTAGCCCGGAGGCTATACCTCCCCAGGGTATCGGGTGGAAAGGGTCAATACCCCTTTGTGTCAGGGACCTTGTGTTACCATTACAGTTAGAAATAAACGTGTTGCCTCCAGAGAAGACTGGCCGAAACGTCGTGAGAATTGTATTGTGTTTTATTAATTTATTATTTTATTCTCATTCTACGTGACTTTACCGAAATAACCAAAGAAGATGAATCCTCGCATTCACGAAAGCTTTAAATTGATATGTAATAGTCTCACACATGCACACAGGTATGCATATGCAAACTCGTATACACGGAGGTTTGCACTTTAAATACCATGTGTACCAACCTCCAGGATCTCTCAATCCATGTTATGTTGTTTTCAATTACCATTGTACCGAAATTCAACGTAAAAAACATTTCCCGAATTCTTCCTGTCTTGTTGGTAATTGCTCAGAGTTTCGTGTCTTGATTTAATACTTGTTTCGTCTTTCAATCGAGACAAAGAATCCGTGCGAAAATCTCACAATGCAGTGCACCCCATTGTATCAGAAAGAGGCGACAGTGAGCAAGAAAAAAAACATTGTCTCCATGGAATCCATCTTTCCTCAGCAACGTCCAAATCAACCAACACAACATGGTCAGCAGTTAATTATTGTGCTGCATGTACGTGAATCATGCATACAAACTGACAGATTCATTGACACACACACACCCACAGGGGAAATACACCGCGTGAAATATTTCCTCCAAAGTTATTTGACTGAACTTCAGGATCCACATCAAGTTTAAATTATGCCTAAAGTCAACGTATTATAGATTGTCAAGCGATTTCCCAAGGCTTTTTTTTTATTGTAACCTCATTGAAACAACGTGGTTGTCTTTGATGGTGGCATGCTGATCATGTGGAAACATTTTTTTATAAGCGAATTCACAATTTCAACCTGTAAATTTTTTTGAGATATTATAAAAAGCATCATGACAGTTTTAACAAGAGTAAGTCAATTTAAACAGTTACGGCCAAGTTTGCCGAAATTCCCACAAGTAATACTCAACATTTTACGTGATAATAATCAACATAAAATGTACACCTGTCATTGTACTATATTATAACATCAAATTATCAGTTTTAATGGTATGCAGTCAATTGTAATTGCATTGAAATAATGTTAGTGCGCACCAGCAATGTGACATTACATCACGTGACGTGACAATGACAACAGTTATGTCACAGACGTTACTGTGCCATCATTGTGACGTCAAAATGACGTCACACCGGTCCTCAGGCTATATAAGCTGAAGCACTCTCAAACTGTCAGCAGTGTCGACTCGTCACAGGAATCAAAGCATCTTGCACCAGACCGATTTAATATTGGAGCTTGTGTAAAGAATTTGAAAAAATGGCAACGTTTCGTTTGATTTTTTACATATTTCTCATACTTTTCAACAGTCAGTACCTGGATTGGCTGCAAACCTCTGGCCATTTGGCCAGTTCTGCGATAATTGCTATGAGCGAGGCCTCCATCAAAGATGCAACTGCAGTGTTTGAGTTGTTAAAAAAGATATGGAATGGTGTTGGGCATGCAATGGCATATAACGGGATTATGAAAACTGCACATTTATTGTGGACCATTGTCCATAAAATATCCATAGACATGTCTGCTATTCATGTTATTCTCATCATCTGCCACATGTGGATCATAAAACATCAACAGAGGGCAGTGATGAAAACAAAATATGCAGCAATTATCAAGAAAGTGAAAATAGTAAGACGACCCAGATTCCGAAAGATCAGACATGAGACCGATATCATAAGGGCCTGCATGAAGACCACAGATGCATCCACCGAGACCAGAGGACGCCGGCCTCATCCTTGGAGTGGGCCCGTGGTTGTGATCGACAATGGACTCAGAGATTCCTCTGTCCAAACCACTGTGGACTTCACCAAGAAGACAGACACATCCAAGGTCAGCATTGAGACCAGAGATGCATCCACCGAGACCAGAGGACGCCGGCCTTATCCTTGGAGTGGGCCCGTGGTTGTGATCGACAATGGACTCAGAGATTCCTCTGTCCAGACCAGCGGGGGACTTCACCAAGAAGACAAGACACATCCAAGGTCAGCATTGAGACTAGAGATGCATCCACCGAGACCAGAGGACGCCGGCCTTATCCTTGGAGTGGGCCCGTGGTTGTGATCGACAATGGACTCAGAGATTCCTCTGTCCAGACCACCGGGGACTTCACCAAGAAGACGGCGGACACATCCAAGGTCAGCATTGAGACTAGAGATGCATCCACCGAGACCAGAGGACGCCGGCCTTATCCTTGGAGTGGGCCCGTGGTTGTGATCGACAATGGACTCAGAGATTCCTCTGTCCAGACCACCGGGGACTTCACCAAGAAGACAGACACATCCAAGGTCAGCATTGAGACTAGAGATGCATCCACCGAGACCAGAGGACGCCGGCCTTTATCCTTGGAGTGGGCCCGTGGTTGTGATCGACAATGGACTCAGAGATTCCTCTGTCCAGACCAGCGGGGACTTCTCCAAGAAGACAGGACACATCCAAGGTCAGCATTGAGACCTAGAGATGCATCCACCGAGACCAGAGGACGCCGGCCTTATCCTTGGAGTGGGCCCGTGGTTGTGATCGACAATGGACTCAGAGATTCCTCTGTCCAGACCACCGGGGAATTCACCAAGAAGACAGACACATCCAAGGTCAGCATTGAGACTAGAGATGCATCCACCGAGACCAGAGGACGCCGGCCTTATCCTTGGAGTGGGCCCGTGGTTGTGATCGACAATAGACTCAGAGATTCCTCTGTCCAGACCACCGGGGAATTCACCAAGAAGACAGACACATCCAAGGTCAGCATTGAGACCAGAGATGCATCCACCGAGACCAGAGGACGCCGGCCTTATCCTTGGAGTGGGCCAGTGGTTGTGGCAGAAGGTCACGGGACAGACCCAGGTGCCATGGGTTGACTGACTGATATGTAAGTCTCACACATGCACACAGGCATGCATATGCAAACTCGCATACACGGAGGTTTACACTTTAAATACTATGTATGCCACCCACCAGGATTTCTCCTTACATGTTATGTTGTTTTCAATTACCATTGTACCGAAATTCAAACATAAAAACATATTTCCCGAATTCTTCCTGTCTTTTTGGTAATTGCTCAGAGTTTCGTTTCTTGATTTAATACTTGTTTCGTCTTTCAATCGAGACAAAGAATCTGTGCGAACATCTCACAATGCAGTGCACCCCATTGTATCAGAAAGAGGCTACAGTGAGCAAGAAAAAAAAAACATTGTCTCTATGGAATCCATCTTTCCTCAGCAACATCCAAATCAACCAACACAACATGGTCAGCAGTTAATTATTGTGCTGCATGTACGTGAATCATGCATACAAACTGACAGATTCATTGACACACACACACACCCACAGGGGAAATACACCGCGTGAAATATTTTCTCCAAAGTTATTTGACTGAACTTCAGGATCCACATCAATTTAAAGCTTCCGTAACTGCAAGTATTCGTCTTCTTTGGTTCTTTCGGTAAAGTTACGTAGAATGAGAATAAAATAATTCATGAGGCCATTCACATATACAAGCACAGAGACCATTTCAACCGAGAAGATGGATTCTGGCTTAGTAACCATTGGAAAGATGTTTTAAACCATTTCCATTCTTAATTAATTGTATTTTACGATGACCTTCAGACCGCAGCTCTTTCGCTGGCATTGACTCTTAATACCTCTCACACCACGGTTAATGGTATGGTTTACAACATGGAGTATTACAGCGCCTTGCAGCTCTCTCTCTCCCCCTCCTCTGTTCCTACCATGGATGAACTCGTCCGTCTGAACGGGACCCGTAGCTATCCGTGTTGCTAAAGTTGAGGGTAAGAATCCACCCATTTTTCGCCATATAGCATTGTGATATATAACGACTTATTATTGGTAGCTTAGCTGATTGGAGAATATAGAGTTTATTGATAACATTGAGGTAATTTTATTTTAGTATTTTTTATTGGTTCACTATATAGTATTCATTATATATTGTATTGTATACCCAGTTACTGTGAATAGCTCAGATGTGTAGGCCTTAACTTCAACAATGCTAAATTCGCCTAGTTATTTCAATGCTAAATTCTCCTGTTTGATTTGTACTAGGTGCCTCGGTGAATGTATATGCTCTGACTTTAACATAGCTATTTCTGTGACCAGTTACAAGCTAATCACTCAGCTATTTCAATGCTAAATTCTATACTAATTCCTTTGTCAAGGAGTGCCTCTGCGGATGTGTATACTTTAACTTAGCTATTTCAATGCTAAATTCTATGCTAATTCCTTTGTCAAGGGGTGCCTTTGCGGATGTGTATGCTTTAACTTTAACATAGCCTTTTCTGTGACCAGTCACAAGCTAATCACTCAGCCATTTCAATGCTAAATTATATGCTAATTCCTTTGTCAAGGCGCTTTGTTTCTTCTCACACAGCT